GGTAGAGGAGAGTACTTAGGAGCACACAGGAAGGAGGCCCATGCCTGGTGTGAAATGCCCCTGGACAAAAGAGTTAGGGAGTAAAACTCCTGCTGATCCGGGAGACCAAGCCTATATAAATACACCCAGATAAAACCCTGCATGGGGAGAGTTCTTGAGTAGCCCTCCAATGTTGGTGGCCAGATAGGAACAGAGACACCTGCAGGGACACACAGGTCTGCCCATGTCCACAACTCTTGTGTCACCATTCTTTCATATGTGAGAACAAAGATTCGGGTTAGCTGTTCTCAGTATTTCAGTTTTTTAAATTTTACTTATTATTTTTATTTTACTTACGTGTAGGAATGTATTGGTTGCCCGCATGTATATAAGTGCACCTGTGTCATGCAATACCCAAAGAGTCAGAAGACGACTTCGGATTCCCCTGGAACTAGAGTTATGGACAGTTGTTAGCCACCGTGTGGGTGCTGGGAATGAAACCCAGGTCCTCTGCAAGAGGATCAGAGCTCTTAACTGCTGAGCCTCCCCAGCCTCCTCAGTGTTTCAGATTTCACCAGGGAAACTAGCAACATGTTTTTAAAAGGTTTCTGGGAGCAGGGAGCATGGTGGTTCATGCCTGCAATCCCAGCACTCAGGAGGTTGAAGAGAGATGCTTACTGTGAGTTTGAGGCCAGCCTCAGCTGCAGTATGAGACCCTGTTTTGAAGAAAAACAAACAAACAAACAAAAAACAGGGCACTAGAGAAATGGCATAGCTAGTGACCAAGAGCACTTGCTGCTCTCACAGAGGACCCATGGTAGGTGGCCAGCAACTTCCTTTAACTCCAGCTCCAGGAGATCCCATCCTCATCCGGCCTCTACAGCTCCCACCCCGATGGTCACACAGAAATAAAAAACAAATCTTAAAAAGAAAAAAAAAAAAACTCAACAAAGCAAAGGAAGGAAGGCCATGAGTTAGAGGCCAGCCAGGGCTGCAAACAACCAAAAAAAACCAAAACCAGGCTTCTGGGAGTTAAGGCTAATTGGTTGAGTCAGACTTCATAATGTTTAACCAATATAGTTTCCTAAAGTTGGTTGTATAAAAACCCAGTGGGCTGATGAATCAGCATGCTGTTCATTGCCTGTGGTCTGTGCTTAACTTATCTTTTCACTCAAAGGAAAAGGGATCATTTGTCTCGATAATTTTTAATCAAGACAAATCTCCTATTTGGCTGGTGCACAAAAGCCATTCAAGATGAGTCAGAACTTCACCTAAGCCAACCCTGGCCATCAATGGACATGCAGACACTTTGGTGGGGGGGATGTACTCACCCCAGTTCTCAATAGAAAAGACATACCACGACAGATGGGGACATGACCACAGCACCACATGTCCCAACCCTGGAGACCAGCTGCTACTAGCTACATAGCAATCAAGCACTTGAACTGAGCCTAGTCCAAACTGAGCTATACTGGGACCCAAATATACACTGGATTGCAAAGACTTAGCACAGAAAAGAATATAGGGGCTAGCAAGATGGTTCAGCAAGTAAGGGCACTTGCAGCCAAGCCTCATGACATGAGTTCTATCCCTGGGTCCCACATGGGAGAAAGAGAGAACTGATTCCTCCAAGTTGTCCTCTGACCTCTGTATAAATGTGAGGTATATATGTTCCTACACATGCACACACACAGATAAATAAATGTAATACATTTTTAAAAAATAATGTAAGCTACCTCATTATTGAAGTGATACTGTCTGGACATTCAGGTTTAAATAAGATGTCAAAATTCACTGGGCGTGGTGGTACAGCTCTTTAGTCCCAGCACTTGGGAGGCAGAAGCAGGCAGGTCTCTGAAATTGAGGCCAATTTGGTGTAAGTAGCATACTCCATGCCAAATGGAGTTACAGGGAGATCCTGTCTCAAAAAAAAAAAGTCAGCCGGGCGTGGTGGCACACGCCTTTAATCCCAGCACTCGGGAGGCAGAGGCAGGTGGATCTCTGTAAATTCAAGGCCAGCCTGGTCTACATAGTGAGTTCCAGGACAGCTGGGGCTACAGGGAGACCCTGTCTCAAAAAGACAAAAAAAAAAAAAAAAAAAGCCAAAATTCATTTCCCATGGGGCTAGAAAGATGGCTCAGTGGTTAAGAGCACTGGCTGCTCTTGCAGAGGACCCAGGTTTAGTTTCCATCAACCATATGGAGACTCACAATTTTCCATAACTCCAGTTCTGGGGACTCCTGACACCTTCTTCTGACCTCCACAGGCATTGCATGACATGGGTATACTTATATACATGCAACAAAACACACAAAACAAAAATAAATTTAAAAAATTCATTTCCTATGGTGTGTGAATGAATTTGTGTATAGAGAGGTAGATGTGTGTGCAAAGCCTGAGAGGGTGGGCTTCAACCTCCATCAGGGTAGCTGCTGGAATCTCAGCAGACCACCAGAGATTGCCAGGTTCCTGCCTCCCTCTGGCATAGGGGCTGAGAACACAGGGAACTGCATGAGAGCGCCCGGATCCTGCCTCCACATGGTGCTGATCTGAAGCCATCAGTTCCCTCCTAAATAAAACCTGAGAGAACCTGAGATCTGTACCAACCAGCTTTACATAACCAATAAGGAAAGAACCTAGGCACCTGATAATACAAACAGAAGCATACTTCAACTTAATTCTCATATCAGAATCATAAACAACAAAAGAAAGTCACATGCCAAAATCACAACAAAAGAATAATAAAATGGAAAGCCAAAACACTATGCTCCCCACCAACTCCACCAGTCCCATAGAAGAGTT